GACCTGTATATTAATAACCTCTTCAGTTTAGCAAAAAAATTTCCAGATTTAGTTATTCAGTGGTGTCAATTGGACCAATTGGACATATTTCATTGAAATTGAACATATGTCCAATTGGTCCAATTGATGGGTCCAATTAGTCCAATTGACAACACTGAAATTAGTTAATGTAAATTTTTTTTTTTATAGTTGAAACCTTTCCTTCTTGGCTATAACTGTAAACAATATATATATATATATAAAGTTACAAGTTTTTTTTTTTACTCGACAAAAAAAATGCTTTTAACTATTAATAATAATTAAAGATCTTAAACTGTCTCACTATTATTGTGAAGCTTGAAATATTTTGCAATATAGGTTACAGTTAACTTCTCACTTTCACCATTGGGCTTATTAGGAAAAAAGATTCAAAAAGCATACTTAATGTCTAAACCGAACTTCATATTTAAATGTTCGATTTATTCAGGTTCGGTTTAAGGAATTCACTGTTCAATATATTTCAATATATGAATGCTTGCCAGGGGAAAACCTGTCATCGAGCTTTCAAATCTACAAGTTGCTAGACAAAGTGGATCTTTTGCAGTATAATTATGCTGCAAGAGTTCCGAAAAAGTTTATAACAATAACGATAAGAAATCAGAGTCCGGTAAGCAATAAACCCCCAATGTCAGGTTTTCCCTTGGCGACACCATACCAATCACACATCAATTGTGACAATTTGCAGGCAGAATTTCCTGCAAGGGACAACAATATGTTCAGTAATTGTGGGTTAATGACGTCTTTTAACATGTGAAAGTCAGGGCACCATTTAATATATTAATACATATAATGGGTGTCCCGAATTCTGCTCTCTATTTTACAAACTTTGCTGTTAATTGTTAATTTTTGCAGATTCTGTGGTGACATGTAAATAATAATATTTTAAACCCAAATTAAAAAAATAATTTTTTTTTTACAATAACGATAGTTTACGGAATTTTACGTGGATTCTTTGCCTACCATTCATTTAGAAAATTTTGTAGATTTCTGAACCACTTACGCGGCCGATCATTAACACCATTAATATGGCCTGAGAAATATCAGGTGCCTTATATTATATTATACGAAAAATAACGGTAAAAGAGTACGTATATAAATCAAATAGGTTCTTTCACTTCAATAAAACATTCAAATATTACTAGACGATAGTACATAACTTATAATCTTTATAACAATTAATAAATCTATCCAAGTAACAGTATCGTATACGATAAAAATCTTCGAAAAGTAAAATAATCAATTGATTTCAATTCGCACGCATTTCCCTCCAAAGAATTTTATCGAATTGCAAAATTTTACTTAGTCTTATAGAAAAAAGAATTACAATGTAAATAAGCAAGAGGTCCTTTTAGAACTACTAGTGATGATTAATTCTTCAAATCGTGGGTATCAACTTTCCAAGTTATTAACGCTAAGACAGTTTTGGATTAGTATGGATGCAGATCATTGCCTTCATGTGACCAGATAAAATAAATATTCATTCAATTCGAGATCACAAAATTTAATAATAAAAAGATGCGCGAGTCCGAAAGTTTAAGACTTGACACGCTTCCAACAGAAGTTATAGTCGCAATATGCCAATACTTATCAATTTTTAGTAAATGTCAACTTTGTCGAGTCTGTTTGCGGTTTCAATTAATAATTTATAATAACAGTGAATTTTGGCAACATCTCGACTTGTCACAATTCGGTGAAAACCTTACAAATCAACACCTGTTTACGATTCTACGAACGAGGTGGAAATCAAATCTACCAAATCGATGGTTAGATATAAGTGGATGTCGATTGATCTCTTCTTCTGCACTAGAAAAATTAGCAGAAACACATTATAGTTTTCAAGGAATTCACTTGAATGTAGAACCTAGGTTTAATATTTGGGAAGTAGCATGTAATTACGATGAATGGATTAAATCTCAATTTTATAGAAAATGTCCCACATTCACAAAAATTGGACGTCCGGGTTTATATCGACTGTGGCCGACGACAGCAAGGTCATCAGCACAACAATGGCAAATCAGTAATAAGTCCATTCAAATAATTCTTCAAGGTTCGTTTCAAACACTCAAATATCTTTCACTCGGGAATCAAAGTTTAAGTCGTGAAACTGCGACAATTATCGCATCTTGCAAAACCTTAACACAATTAGATTTGAGTGGTACCAATTTAGATAACGTATCTCTTCAAGACATTCTATCACATACTAATCAGCTTGTTTCACTCAAGCTATTGGATTTAGAGTTGTCAAATATGACTTTAATAATGATTTCACTCTTAAAAAACTTACGTCAATTATATTTCAGTGTAATCAATAAAGGGATAATTTCTTCAAAAACGATTGCTGAAATGCTAAAATGTTTGCGAAAATTAGATGATTTCAGAATGAACCAAATAATGATTGGTGAGGTAGATCGGGTGATTACGGAGGGCTTAGCATGGGTTGTTTGTGATGAACCGGTTGAAGATGACACAAAAACGATAAATCAATACGATTCCAATGGAGATAAGTCAGTTCAACAGGATAGAGCGCCTATTCGTTATCTAGACCTTTCACCAAAATTAGATATATATCCACAGTGTAGAGAACGATCGATGCAGATTGAACATTATATCTCCATTAGTAATGATTCTTTACAATCTTTGGCTGTAAATCATCCATTTTTGGTTTCTTTTAGACTAGTCAATCCTTATGCAATCAATGCTGAAGGAGTTGATGCACTACTTTCAGTACTTAATTGTCTAGAAATATTTGAATTGAGATGGCGTAGAGCAGAAGTAGACCAAATTCATAAATTAACACCAAAATTTTGTCCAAAATTAAGAGAAATGATCTTACATGGGGTGGATATTGCAGATTTTGATGTTTGGTTTGGTGAGCACAAGGATTTGGAAGTTGACCAATGCGAAAATGAAATTTTATTTGAAGGACGTTCGGGAGAGATTTTTAAAAATTTGGAAATTCTTGATTTGGTGGATGCTTCAGGGTTTTCTAATAATCATTTTAACATGTTGATTAAATATTGTTTAAAAATCAGAAAAGTTAGATTATTACGAACTAATGTTGTTTACTCTCAAATTAACATTGATAGTAGAACGATTTCGAAAAATGATTCTGGCTGGATCGATATTAAATAAATTGTATTATGTTGCTTCACACTATTTTATATTACTTTATATTATTTTATATTATTTTATATTACTTGTCTGCAAAAACATGCATTTTGTTTAAAAATATATATATATGCAGTCGCACTCCCATATAAGCACCATATAAGCACCTATATAAGCATATCATATATATAAGCACATTAATTTTTTGAACCAACTATATACTATTAAATATCTCTTTTATAGAACACATTTTATGGGTCCTGATGGTGTGATGGTGTGATTATATGGGAGTGCGACTGTATTTGTCAATTTTTACACCGCCCCGATGCAAATTTACCCATAAAATTGTCACAAGATGAACTGTAACTTACTTTCGTTATATACGTAGTAGGATGGCAGCTTCCAAATATTTTTGCAGTATATAATTTTCTTGTATTCCCTTACATTAGGAAATATTAAAAATAAATTTATTTTGGCCTCGTGATTCACTTTTATTAACGTTGACGGTCTTTTTAATCCTCCGAATTACCGTTATTCAAACCTGTTTGTTTTATGTATTACCATTACTAACTAGTTATTATCCTCATTTTTTTTGGTAATTCTTTATAAACAAAATCACAAGTACGTAACAAAAACAGTCAATTACATAAAGTAAGGCTGAGAAAATTCCAATTTTCTCTTTTGGTATGAATATTTTCCCACACATATTTGTGACAGATTGCCCTATGCGTATTTGTTACATAAAAGAAAACCTGTTAGTACTAGTTTCGGAAAATATATTTTTTGACATCCAAGATCTATTCCGAAAGCTTAATATATAAGCAGCAACCCCGATCATTAAAAAATACGCGCTTTCCCTTCTTTTGTTACAGCCTCATTCAT